CCTCTCCAGCTCCCGCAGCTCGTTCAGCGCTGTGCTCATGGTCTTCTCGATGTCCTGTGAAGGCCAAAGGGATGTCGGTGCAGTTACACGGCGTCGCTCGCTCTCAGGCATCCCCCTCATAGAGAGCACCCCTTCCCGGCGTGTGTGTCTGGGGATCTCTGATCTAACAACCCCCAGGCAAAGCAGGAGCTTTGGGAGGAGGTGTGAAACCCCTCGATAGCACAAAAGTGTCTCATGTCCCCCAGATCAGCAGGAGCTTGGTCACCAACTTGGTCACCTGAACACCGGATTGGAAAGTGTGAACATCAGCCTACCCACAGCTCCAGCAGGAGAGGGCACTGCCATGCTCCTCCACTGCACTCAGGTCAGGTTTTCCCCAAACAAGGGGCACCAAAGCCTCTGGTGGATGTGCAAGAGCCTCTGCCCTTCCTGTGCCCACAGGGCAATGCCAGAGGGCAGGGACACACACACACGGGGATGTTTGTGTCAGGACAGCAGCTCAGCACGGACAAACGAGAGGCAGTGACAAGGCCTGAGACAGCCAAGGAGAGACTGGCCCCAGCCCTCCCCACCCACCCATTCCAGCCTCCACAGTCCATCTGCAGGGATCCCCCAGGAGGTGAACCCAGTTCAACCAGAGATGCCCATTTCCAGGGAATTAGCTACTCAGCCTACAGCTACAGTGCTGGGACTCTCCTGCAGAAACAGAGAGGTCCTGGTTTGGCTTCACTTAAACCTACCTTGACTGAATTAAAGCCACTACCTCAGCAAGACCATCCGAAGTGATTTAAGGCAATGAAGCCAATCATTTGAAAAGTCACTCTCGTTAACTCTGGTTAATGCTGTCCTACTATAGACAAGTCCTTGGTTTGATAATGCCTGCAAAATGCTTGGAGAGCCTCAGGTGATGTTCAAAGCATCAGCCAAAGGGAAATAACTACCAAGTTAGCTCCAATTAATTCTATTACACTGTTCAGATGACGAGTGAAAATACTCCCCCAGAGCAAAGCCTCAGGACTCCCAAGCCCAGCAGCCCCACAGGCTTCAAGGTGAGGCTTGACATCAGCTGGGGGAGCATCTTTTACAAGAACAACCCAACACAGCTGGGAACAGCTGGGACAGCAGCACCACAGCTGAGTGTCTGAGATGGAAGGGGCTCTGGATGCTCCCCAATTACTTCTTCAGCCTCTTGGCCCCTTTCCAACCCTCTTACCTCAGCAAGAGCTTCTGCTTCCAGAGATTTCTGATCTCCCAGACTGCTGTGCCGGGTGGATCCGGTCGATCTCAGCGGGTGCCCATCAGCCAGAACCTTCCTGTCCGGGAAGTTGATGCTGCTGGCGCTGCCGAACGTGGCCATCCTGCGCTTCTCGGGGCTGTCGATCCTGCCCCTGTTGAGGGGGATCTTGTGGGGGCTGCTGGGGCAGGCTGCTGCCCGAGGAGGGGTGTCTATGCCAGGCCCCATGCCCCGGGGAGGGCTGTGGGTGTCCCCCCCGCTGCGGCGGCGAGGGATGGCTGCGCCGTCCGACCTCAATCGCACTCTGCAAGGGAATCCCAGCACAACACCACGTCAGCGTCCGTCAGCCTGACCACAGCAGGCTGCAGGGCACACACCCAGCTCCAGAGCTCAGCTCAGACCAAACCTGAGCCTTCCAGCTCCAGAAGACTGAGGCAAGAAGGAAGACAGACATTTTAGCCAGTGCCAAGAAAGGGACAGCATTGAATCATAGAATCCTGGAATGGTTTGGATTGGAAAGGATCTTAAAGATCATCTAGTTCCAATCCCCTTGCAATGGACAGGACACCTCCCCCTAGACCATGTTGGTCAGGGCCCCATTGCACCCTCGTGTTAAATCCTCATTAGCAATGCACATGAAACCCCCTCCATGCTCATATTATCCTGCAGTGCCTAGTGGAGCCTTCCCTTCCCATCCTGCCCTACCCCACACACCGACTCTCCCTGCACATGGCAGCGACCAGCTCCATGTTCACAGGGAAACGAGAGTTCCCCTACCTGCCCATCACTCCTCCAAAGCCATAGTCCATGATATGATCCGTTGGAGACTGGATGTCGTTCTTGGAGGAGGCTTTGTCATCCAGCAGTGGCCCACTGCTCGCCTCACTGTCTGCCTTCTGGCTCAGGCTGTCGGAGAACGCGTCATCCCTAGGGAAAGGAGACCCCATCAGTGGCAGGGCCCAGCTGACACACAGATCTGAACACCCAGCAGCTCAGGGCTGAAGGGGGACTGAGGCCACCACTCCAGACAGAACCAGGAGCTTGGGAACAGTGACCATCCTGTCTCCACATCCCCTGTGCTGTGGCTGCCATGGAAATGACTCCAGGTCCAGCACTTGTAACAGCAGCAGTAACAGGGTTCAGGCACACTGAGGCACAGTGTTCAGTGCTTGGCTTTATCAGCTTGGATGAGAAACAGTCTGAGCCAACGCATGGAAATGTGAAGAGGCCCAGATTTCTCACCAAAATCATTAAACCTCAGAAAATCTGACCAAAAACTTTATGTGGCTGAAGTGGGCCTTGTGCAGGTACTTTAAATACCCTGGATCAGCCCTCAGCACTTCACTCACATGTCCTGCACCACGATGTACTGGTGGGGGATGAGCCCATCCACCCCGTTGTGTCTCCCTTCCCACCAGTCTTCCGACGCCCGGTGGTACAGCAGCAGAGAGGCTCCTTTCTTGAAGGACAGCTCCCGTGGGGACCGGCCCATGTAGTCAAACTTGGCTATGGCTTCAATCTGCTCCACCTCTGCACAGGAGAGAGGCACAGCAAGAGAACAGCTCAGTTCAGCCACCACAAGGGAGGAGGAACCCTAGAGAGCAATCTCACCAGAGCCGCAGTGCTGCTGCTGCCCAGCGACCTCGGAGCATCCAACACTGAGCACAAACCTTCTTGTTTTCAGACTGATTTTACTTTCTTCCAGCCTTCCTGGGATCTCTCACAGACTCACAAACTACCAGCAGTTACAAACAGCTACAAAGCAGATGGGGAGCAGTTGGAATCTCATCCCGTGCATATGGTGTTGTGACCTGCACTCCCATTTTCTGCCTTCAGTTACAGAACCCCATTATCCTCCAGCCCGGGATCTCATCAAGCTGTGTCAGGCACTGTGATCAAACCCCACTTACCTTCTCCTCCTTTCCTTATCTTGGAGACAGTTTGGCCTGAATTATTGATGAGTAACAAATGTCCCTTTGGGGATCCCCATGGAAACAGTGACAGCAGCTCTGGCCAGGCAGCTGCTCTGCAACCCCCATCTGCAGCACTGGCCTCACTGCTGCCCCACTTTTTCTGAGACAAGCTCTACCAAACACCCAGGATTCACAAACTGGGAGCTCTGGGCCTGAAATTCAAGAGGGCTGAGGCAAGATGTCATTTCAGGAAACATCCCAGAGAAAACACTGCAGTGACTGCAAAGCAGCAAGTGTCTGTCTCCATACTGACCAGAGAGACTCACACTCCACCTCACTTTTCTCCAAGGCAGAGGTGACCCCCAGCCATGGTCAGAGCCAGCCAGCAGGCATCAGTGTGCCCCGATTATCTGAGATACCAGATCTTTTCAATCCCCACCTGGAGACTGGCAGACAGGCAGTGACAAAGCCAAACAGGGCAAACCCACTCAGTTCGTCCACATCTGCCACGTTCTCATTAAATATGGAGAACTGCTCTGCCCCATCTGCCTCATCACTGACCATGGGCTCAGCAGCCATCAGGGTGTGACCCAAGGCTCTGCTCAGCAACCAAACCCACATGGAGGAGGGGACACAGGAGGGGGACACAAAGGCTGGTGCATCAGACCCCTGTCCCATTCCAGCTCCACCTGAGACAGGCCAGGCTGCTTCTCCACCTTAAACAACCCCCACAGGAGGGCAGAGTGTCTGGGAGCAGCACAGCAGGATCAGTTAATCACCCGGAAACCCCAATTGGAGCCATTAATGTGGCCACCCAAGTGTGAAATTGGCTGCACAGCAGCTCACTCACCTTCCTCTTCCAGGCCTGTTGGCTCCTGCCTGGAGCCAAGAGCAGGTCCTGAGCTGCCTGGCCCTGCATGCCCTTCCCTGTGCCTGGAGCCTCCTGGCCCCCAGTGCCCTTCCTTGTGCCCTTCCCTGTGCCTGGAGCCTCCTGGCCCCCAGTGCCCTTCCTTGTGCCCTTCCCTGTGCCTGGAGCCTCCTGGCCCCCAGTGCCCTTCCTTGTGCCCTTCCCTGTGCCTGGAGCCTCCTGGCCCCCAGTGCCCTTCCTTGTGCCCTTCCCTGTGCCTGGAGCCTCCTGGCCCCCAGTGCCCTTCCTTGTGCCCTTCCCTGTGCCTGGAGCCTCCTGGCCCCCAGTGCCCTTCCTTGTGCCCTTCCCTGTGCCTGGAGCCTCCTGGCCCCCAGTGCCCTTCCCCACCACCAAGGTGAGCCCTTCCTCATTCCCCCACCACCAAGGTGAGCCCTTCCTCATTCCCACGTGTCCCAGAGGGTGGACATGTTCTGTTGGGGCAGAACGCAGCCGAGGCAGCAGCAGCTGTCAGGGAAGAGAAGAGGTGCTCAGCTCCTCAGTGCCCTTCCAACACAGCAAGCCCTGCCATGGAACAAAGCCGTGGGGCTGAGTGTTCCCCACCCCACAGCAGTGCCAGCAGGTTCTCCCAAGCTCTCCTCTCACAGTCAGTGCCTCTGGGACACAAGCACAGCACTCCTCCTGCTCTGGCACGCTCGCTCCTTGCCCAGCTCTGCCAGCCTCTGTCCCGACTCAGGGCACAGTGCATGATGCTCTCCTGCACACACACAGACCCAGTTCCTGCTCACCATCATCACTGGTGTGTGGCTCTGTCCCATTGTCATGGTCCACTTCATCGATGGTGCCTGGCTCGCTGTGTGGGCTGTCACTGGAAGGAAACACACCAGGCTGTCACAGGAGGAATGAGACTCTGCTCCCAAGGCACTCAGCACAAGTAGGTCGTTGAGGAAAATTCTGGCCCCAGAGATACTTCGAAGAGTCATGTTTTCAGTTTGCATAAGACTGAGATGGTCGTTTTGGAATTCTGATCCATCTGCAAATGTATTTTAATTGCTTCAGAATGTGTTGCCCAGGGAGGTGGTGGAGTACCATCCCTGGAGGTGTTCAGGAAACAATGGTACATGGCACTTAGTGCCATGGCCTAGCTGACCAGGTGGTGATCAGTCAGAGGTTGGACTCAATGACCTTAGAGGTCTGTTCCAACCTAAATGATTCTGTGATTTTAAATCACAGCAGATCTCTGAACTTGCTCTGAGAATAGCAAACACACCACAATGTCCAGGCCGAGAACATCATATTCCGTTGCTCTTATGTCTTACTTATATGTGGCAAAACAAGCACAAAGTGACACCAAGTTAAATGTCCCATTGGCTCATTCACAGTGAGTTTTAGCATCTTCTCCCCTGCTGCCCCAGCAGGATGGTGGCAGGTGACCAGTGTCAGGCAAGGTGAGGTCTCAGAGATGTATAAAACTTGCACAGAAATCAGCTGAAGTTTGTTATCAACCTGGTCTGTTAAACTCAGACCTGAGTGTTGGGTTAGAATTCCAGCAACAAAGGGAACTGGAGGGCTCAGGTTAACCTCAGACTGAGGGATTTCATCCAACCAGCAAACTGTGATGAAACTATGGGACTTTACTCAAAAATTCCAGCCTAGGAGAAACTTGGATAGAATTGATCTAAATTTGTTTTGCTCTGAACACAATTCTGTGGATCTCAAGGAATCTTCATCAATATTAGTATTTACACTGGAAAAAGTTTCTCCTGAGGTTCATAATGCTGAGTCAGCATGAGGAAGAGAAACACTTGATGAAACTGCCTGTTTTAACCAGCAGGGCTAAACCAAAAGAGCACAGACTGCTTGGCTCTGTGCAAGAGCCTCTTGGCTTGACACCCAAGCACCTACAGAGCCTTACCAGTACTCCTCCCCTCCAGTCATGCACTTCTCGTACACAGGCCCCTCCAGCTCCCGGTGGCTGGGGAAGATTCCCTCATGGTGAATGATGATGGTCTTGATGACCTCATTGACGTGGGCCTGGCAGGACACCGGATCCTGCCCGTCGGGGATGTGCATCAGCGTGGGCCCGAAGCAGATGGCCAAGTTGTAGGGATCCATCATGTTCTCATCGCTGTACTGCGACAAGCTGCAAGCACAGTGGTGAGGGAGCTGCCGCGCCGGCGTTCCGCTCGGAAAACCTCCCGCGCCAACCCCACGGCACACGGCCATGGCAAAGGGCCCAAGTACAACACCTGAAAGGACTTGTGCAGCAAAGACAGGGAAGCCCTGGACAAAGGGAGGGCAAGGAGAGGCAAAGAGACTCACTGGTTAAGGAAAGCAAAGAGGTATCTCATGACCACGATGACAGCCCGAGGCAGAGTGACGATGATCTGCTGGATCTGGTGCACTCTCTCGGCAGGGCTCTCGATTTCTGGAACACAGGCACACAGAGCACATCCTTACAAACCTGCTCAGGACCAGACACGGCTCCAGAGGGACCTGCTCCAGATCCAGTGGCCCACTAAGTGAGCTTGTCTGCAGACCTGACCCACGGGGTCTGGCACCAAGGTGCAAGAACTGGGCATAGTGCTCTTCCACAGGGGAGTTTGTATGCTCAGATTCAGTATAAACAGCAAACAAAGGCATTCCCAGGGGTTATTTTTAAAGTGTTGATGCATTATTTAGTACATTCCTCAACAGCTCCTCTCTTCCTCAAAAGCCTGGAAATGGAGCACTGCTCAGTGTTCTAGAGCAGATTTTTAAATGAGGTTTTAACTCATGTTACTCTTCTGGGTTACGCACTGGGTACTTCTGAGCCTGCCTGCTCCTGTCTCCCACTGTTCTGAACAGGAACTGAACCTGAACTGATGCTCAGCCAGCACTTTCAGACTCACTGGTCTCCACAGGGGTGCAGAGCCCTGAGCTGCTGACCCTGTTCCCTCCAGTGGGTGACTCAGAGCTATCCCTGTGTTCTGCACAGAGTTAATCCTGTGGCTGCTGTTTCACAGGAAGCACAGGAACAGCACCAGAGCTTTCCTGGAGCAGGAGGATCACAGAGAAGTGCTTGTGCTGGCTCAGACTCTACCATTTCCTAATCACAATAACATTCCCTGACAACATGTAGCTGTGCTGCCACTCGCTCAAAATTCTGAGCAAGTTTGGCTTCAGTACCAAATGGAAATCTTTATAATCTTTCAGCTTGTGAGTTTTCCTGTTTAAGGAATGGATTTATCCCATTGTTGCCTGCTGGGTTCTCTGCTTCTTCAGCTTTACTTACAGGATGTTTGTTCAAAACAAATCAACTCAATGCAAACAGGATAAAACCCTATGACAATAGATATCTGTTCTGAAACCCAGAGGAACAAACTCTCTCGAAGCATTTGCCTTTCTCCCCGAGCAACACGTTTCGACTGGCCATGACTCAGGAATTAACAGCATAACCATCCCCACTGCACACATGGGCACAGTCCTGTGTGGACTCTGCAGACAAAGGGCCTTTTCACCCATCTATTGCCCATGTGCCTTTGAGGAGTTTCCACAGAAACCCTCAGTCCCCCAAGAGTGAAAGGAAAAGTTCTTCACCCTGCTTAAGCTGTGTTTGTGTGGCACAAAGTCAGCTGCACTTCAGATCAGATTTTTAATGGCACTTAAATGCATTTTAAATCAATCCTTAATTGAAAGGTTGCGAGAGCAGCAGGAAAAGAAAGGTGAGGATAAGGAAGATACTTGCTGAAATGGAAAAAATAGAGAGAGCAGAGAATACCGATCAGAAAATTAACAGGTGATGTTCGCAACAAAAAGCCCCCAAAAGCTTAATAAATTGTGCAAATTGGCTTCAATTAGGGCAGGTTCCAACGCACAGGCCTATCTGCAAGCACATATCCTGGCACCAGAGGGGACCCATCCCCTTCTCCCTCAGGCTCCTGGTTCAGCAGCCCCTGGGGAAGGCAACCAGAGATAACACAAACCAGGCTGAAAATCCCTGTCCAGAGCACAGACCTGGGGCAGAACCAGCCTCCTTTGTCTCACAGGTGTGCTGTGTTGTTTTACACATCTAAACTGACCAGAAACAGTGAATTTCCTACAACTGCTACATAATACAACCATCCCTGAGAAATGAGAGCACATTCTTCTCTGAACAAGCCCATCCCTGTGCCAGTGCCCTCCAGATATCATCTGTCTCCCTTGACATCCCTGGATCCTCAGCAGTTATGAACATGCACATTCTGAAGGGGGAAAGAGCCATGAGCAGTGAAGCTGAATGAAAGCCTTGAGCACATGTTCCCCAGTTCGTGCCCCTGAAGCCACCCCAAAGCCACCCCAACCCCAAACAGCCCTGACATCTCTCCTGTCAAATAAAGTCACCCTGCAGCCAAAGTGTGCAGCACACTCCTCCATCACCTCTGAAACACCAGACTCCCTCTGCCTCCTTCCTTCTCCCCAGGGGAGCCATTTCCATGACTTGCCAATAAATAAATGTCATTGCTATGAGGCACTGAGAGCAGCACAGCCCAGCTGGGAGAGCTGATCCTGCAGCTGCAGAGGAACATGCAGGGCTGGGAGGAGAATTCAGGACAGAACAAGCAGCAACCAGGCTCTCCCTGACATCAACCCCAAAGCTCCTCAGCTTCTCCCTCTGCTCATCCCCCAAAGCCTTTTCTGCTTTTCTTTGGGAGGGGAAATGCACACAGTAAACGTGGAGAACAACCAGGTCTGCAGACCCCAGGGCTAAAGAAGCTCTGTGAGGAGTCAAGAGCTCCTCTCCCTCTGCTCATCCCAAAGCCCTTTCTGCTTTTCTTTGGCAAGGGAAATGCACACAGTAAATGTGGAGAACAACCAGGTCTGCAGACTCAGGGCTGGAGAAGCTCTGTGAGGAGTCAAGAGCTCCTGATCCTTACTATGCTTAGTGGAAGACACTGAGATGAAGCAGCCAAAACCCTGCAGGGCCCAGAGCCATGACTGTGGACAGATGACAGGCACACCTGCCCAGATCTGTGCCAGCAGGACAGCAGCCACCCCTGCCACACAACTAATGACCCCTCAAGCAGCCCCCAGATTTGTATATGGGCTTGCTGCATGCACAGCCCCCCTGGCCTAAGCTTGGAGATGGCTCTGTAAAACCTTGTGATGGCAGTAAGAATTCAGAAGAGCCACAGGAAGATGTTTCCCCTCTTCCTCACGCCCAGCACTGCCAATACACATTCCTGATGTCCTTTCCCAACTCCCATTGCATACCTGCTGTCCTCTCACAGCATAAACTCCTTTTTGCAAGACTCAGGTGTATCTGCCCCCTCTTTAGTGCTTCTCTCACCCACCCTGTTTTCCACAAAAAGAGTTGTCATGTACTTACTTATGGTAGATATCAAATCTTGAAACCTTTCCTTAGGAAAGAGGGGGTTTTCCAGTCCTCGGAAATACAGCTTCAAGACTCCAGCCACTGAGTTAATGTCCCGTTCATTCTGATCATCAGCAAGGGGATCTTCACCTGCCCAGACAAGAGGTTTTATGTCTAGCATCACCATCATGTTAGACTAACACAGCAAGTGGTTTCTCCCCATGCAGTGGAACCCCCAAATTCCCCAGGGTTCAGAAACCCTCCTCACGTGCAATGGCAATGCTGAGCAGTTCCCTCAAACCCCCAAATTCCCCACGGTTCAGAAACCCTCCTCACATGCAATGGCAATGCTGAGCAGTTCCCTCAAACCAGTTTACTGGGGGGGATTTCCAGCATGGCTACACACCTCTCTCAAATGAGTTCTTGATGTCATTGACTTCCACCTGGGAGCCAGGAACTCTGAAGATGCCCTGTTGCTGGAGGCCTGGAAGAGAACAACACTTTAGGAGAGACTTCTGGAACTGTTGGGCAGTACTTGCTGGAGAAAGCAGCAGAACCCAGGGATGGATGCACTGGAGAGGCTGGGACTGAGTGGGCACAGCTTGCTGCCATTCACTTCTGCTCATGTTCTCCAGCCAAGAACCCCAGATCAAGGTACTGAAAGGGCTCATGGCCCGAGTGAACAATTTAACCTGGGTAAGTGCTAGCAAGACCTTAATATTTGCCAGTCATCCAATGCAGCCTCACAGCCAATGCCATTGGAATTCTAACCCAAGCCCATGGGGCTGGGGGCACTCCCAAGCATCTCTGCTGGATCTCACTGCTCCCTCAAGCACTTCACTCCTTGGCAGAAGGTTTCTGTGGATGTATTCACTCAACTTACCATAGAGATTGATATAGCGGATGCAGCTCTCTACGACAAGTGGAATGGCCTGTCCTGAATCCTTCAGGAAAGGAAAGGAAAGAAGGCAAAAATCAGTGGTTTGCTGCTAACAAAGCACAGGAAATGCATTAAAGACTGCAAACCCAGAGATTTGAAAATTAGTGCCGTGGAGTTTAGTAACAGGACAGGCAAGGAAAGGAGGTGTTACACACGCTGAGCCATCAGGGAGCGCGGAGGATGCTGTGTGCAGCCAATAATGCACAAAAAGCTGTCACTGAGGTGTGTGGAACACTGCTGCTCCCTGTCTGCCTGACACAGGGGACTGCTGCAAGGGGTCATGGATATTCCACCCCATGGGTGGAATGCTGAACTGAAAGAAAACTTGTGCTGTACCTGACTGATGGAATGAGCACCCAGGAACAGAGCTGACAACAATATTTCCACTGAAGGAAAGCCATTGTCAGAAGGTGCTAAAAGCCCCAACAAACAGCACAGTGTATGGAGTGAACTGCCTGGGTCTGAATTTGCAAGGAGTTTTGGCTTTTATTTCAGAGATGTTTCTCCCCAGGTCCCTTGTGGCAGAGGCTCAAGGGGAACATGGGCCAAGCCTGATGGCCCAAGTGGACATGTATTTCCCTTCAGGGCTCTGATTGTTTTTCAGCAGAGCACAGTGGCATCTCTGAGTAATTCCCTGTGTCTCCAGTAAATACCTGATTCCTCGTACGCGCATTTCTCCTTCCTCTGAGCACACAAAAAAAGCAGCAGAGTGGGAAAAAGAGAACAGATTAAGCAGGATAAGTTCAGTTAGAGGTAGTCATCTCTTTCGGAGGCCGTGAACGCTCAGATGCAATGGCAGCTTAGCAAGGGCCAACCTAGGCCTTTGGGATGTCACCCCCTCCCACACCCCTCCAGCATGCTGCAGCCCAGCCTCGGCGACCTGCAGGGACAGCCTCTTGGACCTCCTCCCTGCCTGAACCTCCAGTGCTCCCAGGAGCCCCAGGGCAAGGATGGGTCCTGCCTGGGGCACAGACAAGACTCCAGGGAGAGCTGCCCCAGCGTGGGGGCACTGGGTGACTAGTGGAGGCAACTGGGCAGCCCCAGGGGCACCAGACAGTCACCCACAGCCCTGTCCCCTCCAGAGCTGCACATCCTGGGGGTTGCTGGTGTTGGGACACCCCTCTGCTCAGATGGATTTCCAGAGCAGATAATTGCTCCTCCTCTTCGGTGCTGAACGGTCTGGGCTTTAATGAGCATTACTAGTTTAAAAACCAGTTTAAAACAGGAGTAATCACAAGTCCTAACAGGATTAGCAGCTTTGCCAGCAAGGCCTGTGCCGCTCCCTGTGCTGGGGCACTGTGTACAGACACTGCCCCCGAGCTTAGGGCTGAGCCTGAGGGAATAAACCTCAGCCTGCCGATGCCTATTAGTCACCTAATCCAACAGTTTGTCATTACTGCTTCCGGCAGTGTTTTCACTAAAGCTTTCTCCAGCACAGGATTAGACACTGAGCAACTGGAATGGCATTGCTGCCTTCGGATATCCTTCCTGCAGCTGGGCCATAGCAAAGGGCTGGGTTTGGAGGATCAGCATCCTTTGGGACAAATGCCACAGTCACAGCTCTTTTTGGCTCCCCAAATCTCTCCCTCTGCATGATTTCCTGGGACGTTTGGCTCCCCAGATCTCTCCCTCTGCATGATTTCCTGGGACAAGCAGGGCCAAATGACCCTTCCACTTGGATTAATTGAATTCATCCAAGTTCACCCAGAGTAAATGAAGGAAATACTCTGGCCAACATTACACTTTGTGTTATCAGTGATGGTTTAGAGGACTACACTCAGCAGCCATTTAGGAATGACTGTATCCTGGTGCTGGAAGCCAAGCCCAGGCCCTGGTGCTGTTGTGTCTCCTCTCTTGGGACATTCCAAGGCGACAGCTTCCCAGGAAAGGCTGGTGGCTCTCCTCAACCACAGTCATAAAAGACCACCAATAACATGTGGAAAAAGGGAAGGTGAGGGCATCGATTGATCGTTTGAGGGTGCTGGGCTGGGCTAAACTTGTCACCTGATCTTCCTTCCCTGCACAAGTGGAAGCAGCAGGACAATGAGGATGCTCAGCCAGGAGTGCATTGCACCACACCAGCTACATGCCCTGACTGCTGCTCCGGCCCAGGGCACACAGGGGACAGGACAGGGGACACAAGGAATGCACAAGGGGTGAGGACAGCTATGGAGAGGAGTGGTCACCGAGGCAAAGCTGTGCTGGTCACACCAGCTGGGTGCAGCAGGCCAGAGGGACCCCGAGGATCCAAGCAGGACAGGAAAGCCACCGTTCCATCCCCAGCGTTCAGACACTCCTACTGACAGCAGCGAGTACCTTAATGAACGTTTCCATATTGCCGTTAAAGAGCTTATGGTTATAGACTGAGAGAGGCCTAGGTCTCCTCATTTTCTGTGGCTTAGGGGGAAGACATGGGGGCCTGAGAGAAAACGGAACAAAATAAATCAACAGAACACCGAAATAAACGCAGCGACAGGGTGAGATCTCACAGGTCATGACTGAGAATAAGAAGTCAAACAGAAATATCCCTCTGTGAGGGCTCCACATGTGGCTCCATGGGCCCTGCAGTTGCTCATGCTGCTGTGTCCCCCACAGACACTGCTCCAGTGGGAAACCAAAGGCATTGGTGCTCAGCAGGGTTTTTAACCTGCCTCCACCAGCTCCCTCAGTCTGAAAAGGCACCAGGAGTTCAACTCACTCCTTGATGCATCCAAACCAAACCAGAGCTACCCCTGGACAATGCTGAGGTATTCCTGTCTATTCCTAAATCTCATTCTGCTCACAGCAAGAGGGCAGAAAGAGGACAGTGGGAACACCTCCACCTTCCTGTGTCTAACATCTGTTGGGGATTCCCAGGGATGGGAATGGCCTTTCAGTCTTTCTGGCAGGCATTCCCAAGATTCAAACCTCCACACAAAAAAGTGAGGCCAGTCCTCACAGGGCAGCAAACTCACTGTTCCATAAGAACAGAAAAGGTTGGCATTGCATTCGGAGTGGTATGACCCTCCCCTGCTAGTGACCAAGGGGCCTGGCAGGGATGGGGACAGACCCTGAGACCCTGCTTGAGATCTGGCAGGGTAACACCCACTGCTGCTGGAAATGAGGCCAGGGAAACCTGAGACAGGTGCCAGTGCAGTGCTGCTCTCCTTAATGCTATTCCCAGTCTGATTCCTTCAGATAAGGAAGGACATTCAGTGTCTAGACCTAGAAAAGGGAGAGAAACACCACAAAACCCCTTAGGGATTTCTGCCCTGCCTCTGCCCCAGGATGTACTGGTGTCTGTAAGGGAGAGAACACAACTGCAAACACACAGAACTGGGTGCTGGAAGCCTTCCTGCAGGAGTTCTCAGGGAGCAGTGGAATGGATATAGACAATTTACTGAGCTCAGTGCAAAGGTGACAGCTGGGGACTGCTGGCTCCTTAATCAGATGCCTCTAATTAAGCAACTTGACTCTATATTCCTACAGCTTCCCACCACTCCTTTGAGTGGTAGGTGAGCAGAGGTGATTGCTGCCTGTTGGAGCACCCTACCCCACACACCCCAGGGACTGTGCCTGCATACACCCAGGGCACCCAGGGTGCTGGGGCAGCTCCCGGGGACCTGTGGCAGAGGCAGCAGTGGCAGCAAGGGGAGGCTGCTGTGACAGCTGATCCAATGGGAACCAAGGAGCACAGTCACAGGCAGCTCCTTGGAGCACACCAGGGCAGTGAAACACTGAGCAGTCCCTGCTCTCTGAAGGCCCCTCTGTCCTGACAGCCCCTCTGTGTCCTGAGAACACCTCACTGTCCTGCCCTGCCCTGCCCTGCTGCCCCAGTGGGTGCCCAGCCCTGATGCCACTTGGCCTGGCGCCGGCGGCACGAGGAGCTCCTTCCTGCCTGGCAAGGCATCCCAGGCTGCACCATCTGCTCCACCATTTCCAGCAGGGAATGGGGCTTGTTTTGCTGGTATTGTAAATTTTATTAAACACTGAAACAGGGTTGGAACAAGCTCACCCAGAGAGAGGTTCTAAGTGTTCTGGGGAGCTGTTTGGAGGCTTTGCTGGCCCATGTCTTGCTGTCAGAACACCAGCACACTCCTAACAAGCCACTGGAGCTCTGTGGAGACACTTCATGGACTAGATGTGGATCAAAGCCTCCTCCCTGTCACATTCACCCCAGCACTATCTCCTGCTGTAGAGGGATGAAGTCTGTGATACAGGCACACTCTGCACTCCCAGGCAAAGCAGCCAGAACTGGGAGAGGTTTTCAGGGACATATCAAAGTCCTCAAACAAAGAGGAATGGCAAGGAGTGGGTGGACACCCTTGTGTGTGTCTGAACATAACCTCATCTCAGCTATGCTCCAGGGCACTGCACCGTGCTGACACTGCACATCCAGGCACATCAGAGCCAGCCAGCCAGAAACCACACTACAGCAGGGCCAAGGGCCTGCTTGCCATCCCCTTGATCCAGGGGCTCCAGGCCATGCAGCTGGGAAGCAGGATGTGGGGCATGAAGACTGCCAGCCTGCCAGCACACTGGGACTGGAGATGGGCAACTCTGAACCCCACCAAGCTGCACCAGTAGCAAAGCAAACCCCCCTGCCCACAGCCCCCTCTTGCCAGCACCAGCCCTCCCCAGCAGCAGATGAAGGGGAAGAAAGTGCTCACCTGGTCGTCCCGCACTCAGCTCTTTCACCTATAAGAAACACAAGTTCCTGTCATCAATGTACATCAGCCACCACCAAAGGACTGGTACAGCACAGGTGCTCACACCCTCCCTGCTGGTTCCTACCCCCTGAGGTGAGAGCTGCTGGCAGGAAAAAGCTGAATTTGGGGAGGGGAGGTGCCCAGATGCTGCTACACAAGTCCCCACCACTAAAAGATCAGAAACCCAAGACTCAGCCACAGGAGAGGGAAAGGGTCTGCAGTTCCCACTGACATCACCAGTTCCTTTGCCATGTGAAGCCCACCCTGCCCACACCTAGCAGCAACACAGGCTCCTAGGCACCAGCTGGGGACTGGAGATGAGTCCCAGCAGGAACAAGGCAGCTTGAGAGGAGCTGGAGCCCCAGGGAGGGTCTGG